TATTTATTTAATTTTGTTAATCGTAGTACATATATATATGCTACTATTAGTAATGTTAATAATGTTATTGGAACAGACGCTCCTCGAAACAATACTCACGTAAAGAACCGAACGGCGGGACTGTACTCACTGTACTGCCACTTAGTGTCTGTTATTGTTTTGGTCGTAGACTGTCGCAGGTAGCTGTCGCACGTGTGATGTTAAACATCTCAGAAACATCGATGGAGAAATAATTGCAGCATTTAGTATACAGATTCTTCATATATATTTTATTAACGAAAAGTCGTGTCTTCGTTACAAATGATTAACAAAAAGTCTTGTATTCATTAAACAAAATAAAAATAAACGGTATCATTAGATTGACATTTTAAGTTAAACAAAAATCCATTACGCTCGACTGATATAATCGACTCTAATATAAATAAAAAAAAGTCCCAAAGATTTTTGGGATTACAAATACAAGCATACATTCCAGAATATCGGATTAAAAAGAATTATCCATTACGTTCGACTGATATGTAACACAATCGACTATATAAATAAAAAAAAAACAGACCCTATGATTTTTGGGCATATAAATATAAGCAGACATTTCGCAGTATCGGATCAGTCTTTTTGAGTTTGTTTCGTGAAGACACATCGCGATTCGTGGTTGTAGTTCATAGTTTTCTCTGCTTCCCATCCATTGCATTTTTAAACGTTAAAATTCCATTTAACTAGTGTACTCTTTCATTTCGTACGCGACACGTTTCCTTCGGTATCAAACACAGCCTTTAATTTGTATCGGTCGCTTAAAATTACGTTTAAATTACATCACTTACAAACAAAGACTCCTGTAAATAACTATATACTGATTCATATAAAGTACATACTCCGGCGCGACGTTTCTAAACGGACTCAAACTAGCGAATGGATTTTCTCCACTATACAGATAGTTTACCTTTCTACCTAGGATTGCGTTTATTCTGTCTAACTCCTTCTTAAAGTTCTCTAATCTGAAACGACAAGTTAAGATAAACGGACAGTTTTGTTTCGCTATCAGCTTGATGGACGGCGCCCACGTTTCCTTACTGGACCCAAGTTCATGCTCCTGAATACCCAGATCAAATCCAACAACCAAGTTCGGTTTTACGAATGTCGGGCTGCGTACATAGTTCTCGTATAACATATCGTAAAAATCAAATGTCAAATGTTTGTTCTCCGGCAACATACGGTTATTGCAAACGTATTCCGGATTGATTTGAAGCTGTAATTCCGGCCCGATCATTATAATCGTCACTGGCATCGCGGTCCCTATTAAACGCGGCAAAACTTCCCACCCCATCAAGCAGAATTCTTCCGAGTAACACGCACCTACGACATGAATGACTATAGCTTTGCTTTTTGGGACATAGTTCAATAATCGCATAGCATGAAATAACGTCAAGGGACGTGTCAGATGTAGCGAGTGTTGGCCTATCAAGATATTGCGCGATATCTCCGAGTCAGACGAAATATTCCAATAAGCATTTATAAAGTCTTTCATGTTCTGAAATTTACCCTTGTCGGTAACGTGTCGCAAGTAACAACGCATATCTGGAGGACCGGTTTCTCCTCTTATAGCTGATAAATCTGAACGAAAACGTAGTTCCAGGGGAGCGCAGATGTTCTTATGTTCGGTGCCGTTTACGTGATTTTTACAAAAGCTGGCAACACACTTGCGACAATCCTTCAACGACTGAGCGTTCCGTTCGTGGCAAATCAGACATTCTCTTGGAAAACAGAACATTTGCCCCTCTTCGAACTTCAATGGACGTCCCAGCTTGTTCGATATTAACAACATAAAGTAACTCTTCTTTCTTTCGTTCTCCAGAGTTTCACCCGAAGATGATACAGTTATAATGGGATTATCCATACTGTAGTCTCGCAACACGTCCTGAATAGCTTTGCACAAAGGTTTATGAAGCTTCCAGTGCTCCTTCTGATGTTCCTGACCACAATAGGAGATCATTCTGCAGCCACCGCACTTCTTTAAAAGGACACCGTCCCCGAATCCTTTGCATACGTGACACATGGTCGCATAGAACCACATGTTATACGCGTTAGGAATTTTTTCCTCCTTGTATTCTAATCCCATGGCTTCTGCGAGTCTTGCCCACATGGTCTCGTTATATCGAAGTCTCCTTCAGTGCAAAAGATATGTAATGTTTAGAATGTTGTGATTTCACAGGTTGCACCTGTAGGACGTGAGCGTTAAGTAAAACATATCACAGAATTGGAGGAATAATTAATTATTATTCGATGCGACAAATAGAAAGGATACTGTTTTTGCTGGCGTTATTAAATAGAGGATTCGTGTGCACTCGTGCACGTTCACGATCGCCTTCTTCGTGATGCGACAGTACTCGAGCACCAAGCTTTTCCAGACAGCTATCTGCTTAGCTCTGGTATCCGCGTGAGACTGAAGCCTGCAATAACAAATAAAGTGTAATCGTTAGATGCAATCTAGAGTGTGTTTTCGAATCGCCAGATCTGTAAATACGCTCTTCCTGTAACCACCTGTAACCTACATTTCTAATAATCGGCGACATGCAGGCTTCCGCCGAAACGCATTTTATATAGAAATATTTATTGAATTTCGTTAATCGTAGCACATATATATGATACAATTAGTAATGTTAATAATCTCATCGGAACAGACGCTCCTCGAAATAATACTCACGTAAATTAAGGACGGCGGGAAACTTCACTGCTATACGGCCACTCGATTTCTGCGCCATTGTCTTGATCGTCAATTGTCACAGGGATCTGTTTACAAGTGTGATATGAGAGATGTCATAACTATCGATGGAGAAGGAGCGGAGAGAGGACAGGAGAGGAGAAAATAACTACCATTTCGAAAATATTTGATATATGGTTTATTACAAAGATAAAAACTTTATTTTAAACAATTAACGAAAAGTCTTGCATTCATTAAACAAAATTAAAAAAAAACGGTCATTGCATTAATATTTTACGATAAAAAAAAATCAATTACGCTCGACTGATACAAAAACGACTCTAAAATAAAAAATAGACCCTGAAATTTTCAGGTATATAAATATAATCAGATATTCCGAAGTATCAGATCTCAGGTCTTTAGGAATTTGTTACGTGAAGACACATCGCGATCCGCAATTGTAGTTCATATTAAGTTTTCTCTGCGTTCCATCCGTTGTATTTTTAAATGTTAAATTCCATTTAACTATAGTGTATACTCTTTCATTTCGCACGCGACACGTTTTCCTCGGTATCAAACACAACTTTTAGTTTTTATCGGTCGCTTAAATCTTAAATTACTTACGCTTAAACTATATTAGTTACAAAGACTCCTATAAACAACCATACACTGATTCGTAAAAAGTACATACTCCGGCGCGGCTTTTCTAAACGGACTTAAACCAGCGAATGGATTCACTCCACTATACAGATAGTTTACCTTTCTACCTAGGATTGTGTTTATTTTGTCTAACTCCTTCTTAAAGTTCTGCAAAGTGAAACCACAAGTTAAGATGAACGGACAGTTTTGTTTCGCTATCAGCTTAATGGACGGCGCCCACGTTTTCTTACTGGACCCAAGTTCATGCTCCTGAATACCCAGATCAAATCCAACAACCAAGTCCGGTTTTACGAATGACGGGCTGCGCGCATAGTTCTCGTATAACATATCGTAAAAATCAAACGTCAAATTTTTGTCCTCCGGCAACTTCCAGTGATTGCAAAAGTATTCCGATAAACGATGGGCTTTAAGTTGTAATTCTGGCCCAATCATTATAATCGTCACTGAGATCGCGGTCCCTATTAAATGTAAAAAAACTTCCCACCCCTTCAAGCTCAATTCTTCCCGGAAACCGGCACCTACAACATGAATGACTATAGCTTTGTTTTTTGGGACATAGTTCAATAATCGCATAGCATGAAACAACGTCAAGGGACGTGTCAGTTCTACCGAGTGTTGGCCTATCAAAATATTGCGCTGCATCTCCGAGTCGGTCGGAATATTCCAATGAGCGTTTATAAAGTCCTTCATGTTCTGAAATTTACCCTCGTCGGTAACGTGTCGCAAGTAACAACGCATATCTGGAGGACCGGCTTCTCCTCTCATAGCTAATAAATCTGAACGAAAACGTAGTTCCAGGGGAGCGCAGATGTTCTTGTGCTCAGTGCCGTTTACGTGATTTTTACAAAAGCTGGCAAC